ACGACGCCGAACCGGGCCATGCACAATAGTCATCGGCTATGTATTTAAGCTGCCCATGTCTTGGTCACAGGAAATTGGGCGTTTTAATCAGAAAACGATAGTAATTACACACACGTTCTATCTATTATCAAATTCTTAAAGTTTATACACTTTCACTCTTCTAACAATTCCACGTATATTCAAATGCTCCTCTGCAACACCCAATCTCGACGCACGCACGCCACTATGCACAAACTCACAGACATATGTAGTTAACACCAAGAGCTAATAATCCACTAGACTTGTAATATTAGACTAATTATGTACAATCATTATTAGGTCTTGATAATACATTGGTGCGCGTGTGGTGAGATTGTGTGCTGCAGGTGTGCATTTGAACGGCATTTACGTGTGGGGTAATTACATATACCTGCAATACACAATCTCGTCGCACGTACGTCACTTATTATGTCACGCATTAACGTCGTTTAATTCAACGTTGTTTCGTTATAACGTCGTTGAAAAAAATACCACTGTCACTGAGGCGTCGGCTATATTATAAGAACTAATGTACTGAGTAGAATTTTACTCTTTACTTAACATGAGATGTTTGCGATATTAGTTTATAAAAAAATAAGGTGTTTGAAACTTATAGGCGTAAGTGCATTATGAACTTTTTTAGTATATAAAAGCTATCTTTGTCGGAAACGCGATCAGATGGCAGAGCGTCGTATTTAACGTTGTTCCAGTTAAAGTCGCGGTTCTCAAGAATCTGACTACGACGTCAGGCGGGCACTATTGCTTCATAGTGCCTGCTGCGTTATCCAATGGAATTTCAACGATTTATCACGTGATGCACTAATATTGATTGTTGTTATTGAGAGCAGCAGTCGCAGTGTGCGGCAGTACCCAGGAAGACATAGACCCTATCAGCGGTAATTGGTGTATATTTCTGTGAGTTTATGTTGTTATGGCGAGATTGTCTGTTGCAGTGGAGCATTTGAACGGAATTCACGTGTTATCAATTACTCAATTATAAAGTAGATATTATTGTATATAGATCGATTGAGAGTACATAAACATCAAGACTTTAGTAGTACATACAATTGCGTTTATTTACCATCACGTTATTATTGAGACAACCTTAATGCCTGTATCCTCTGTAACCTGCTCACGTACTGCTGCCGGTGATGACCGGGTTTGCTGCGAAGTGTGTGTGTGTGTGCGTGCGTGCGTGCGTGCGTGCGTGCGTGCGGCGTGCGTGCGTGCGTGTGCGTGTGTGCGTGTGCGTGCGTGCGTGCGTGTGTGTGTGTGTGGGGGGGGGGGTGCGTGCGTGTGTGTGTGTGTGTGTGTGTGTGTGTGTGTGGTGTGTGTGTGTGTGTGTGTGTGTGTGTGTGTGTGTGTGTAGGGGGGGGGCGTGCATGGTTAATCGCTGCTATCATTTTCACTATAGCTGGGTTTACAGTTTACACTATCAACTTTCTGTTAAACTAATCGACCAAAAGTCGGCACTGTAAACGTAAAATTTGAGCGCTCAACTGGTTGATATCAACTGATTGAGAGATTAGAACATGTTCTATTTTCCCAACTTTTGGTGAAGTAGTTGATCAAGTTTGTGGCATCAGCACTTCGGCGATAATACCAATCAAGGGGTGTGTCCCTCGACCAGGGGGATTACTGGATGTATCCAAAATTCACAACGTTCAATTGATCGATTTGATTGCTGTCAATTGAACAGTCGTGTTAATCATTCAAACGTTCAATTGATCGATTGATTGTTCAATTGATGCGATTGATTGTTCAATTGAACAGTGCGTTTAATCATTGCAAACGTTCAATTGATCGACATTGATTGTTCACACTGAAACAGTCGTTTAAATCTTCAACCTATCAAATTGAGCAATAAATAACGAATTGCCAATATCTGCACATGCGCCAATTGACAAATCAACAGGCACGAATACTCGAATAGGCGTATGAATCTACAATGGAATGGCGAGGGAGCAATTGCCGAGGCTCGTCAAGTCGCAAAATCAAACGTATACGCATTACTTGCAAGCATTGCCAACAGAGTCATGAGACGGAAGGCGCGGGTAAGCGCGTGCGTTGCTAGGAACGCAAATCGGCCCGCGTATTCCCCAGCTACGTGCGTGTACGCCGCGTGTACGTGCGTGTACGCCGCGTGTACGGTGCGTGTACCCCATGTGCACGGTGCGTGTACGTGCGCGTATCGCCGCGTGTACGTGCGTGTAATCTGCGTGTGCGTGCGTGTACGCTACCGTGTAACGTGCGTGTACGTGCCGTGTGGCCGCGTGTACGTGCGTGTCTCTGCCGTGTAACCCGCGTGGTACGTGCGTGTATCATGGCGTGTACGTGCGTGTACCTGCGTGTACGTGCGTGCAGCGGTGCGTGTACGCCGGGCGTGTACCCGCGTGTAGGCGTGCGTGTATCTCGCGTGTACGTGCGTGTATTGCGTGTAACGTGCGTGTACCCCGCGTGTAACGGCTGTATCTGCGTGTACGTGCGTGGTACCCGCCGTGTACGTGCGTGTATCTGCGTGTACGTGCGTGTATCTCCGTGTACCCCGCGTGTAACGTGCGTGTACCGCGTGTAACGTGCGTGTACCCACGTGTCCGTGCGTGTATCTGCGTGTACGTGCGTGACCGCATGTAACGTGCGTGTATGCTGCTTGCCCGCGTACGTGCGTGTACGTGCGTGTACGTGCGTGCCGTGCGTGTAACCGCGTGTAGCGTGTGCTGCGTGTACGGTTGCGTTGTATCTGCGTGTACACGCGGGTAACACGCAGATACACCGCAACGTAAACGCCATACACGCGGTGTAAACCGCAGATACACCACTCGGCGGGTAGCACGACCGGCCACGACAGATACACGCACGTACCACGCGGTCCGCGTAAAGCGCACGTCACGCTACGACCGCAGATACACGCCGTACACCGTGGTAACACGAGATCACTTCGCACGTACCCGCGGGTAGCACCAGACCGACCGTACGCGTACACCGCGGATACACCGAACCATAGTCACACGTACACGCGCGGTACACGCGGACGGCACCGTACGGGTCACGCCGGTACAGCGCACAGTACAGCGCGGTACACGCACGTCACATCGTACGCCGTAGCAATTCGCACCGTAGCGTAGGACGTAGACGGGTACAGCGCTAGGCTGACGCCGCATTGCGTTCCTAGCAACGTACGCGCTAGCCGTGCGCTTTCCGTCATGACTCTGTGCGCATGTGCAGTAGGTATACGTTTGATTTGGCGATTGACGAGCCTCGGCTCATGATTCAATACGCCTATTCAGTATTCGTGCCTTTGATTTGTCAATTGGCGATTCAATTTAGCAATTCGTTATTTAATTGTTCAATTGAACGTTTGAATGATTAAACGACTGTTCAATTGAACAATCAATCGATCAATTGAACGTTTGAATGATTAAACGACTGTTCAATTGAACAATCAATCGATCAATTGAACAATCAATCGATCAATTAAACGTTTGAATGATTAAACGACTGTTCAATTAAACAATCAATCGATCAATTCAACGTTTGAATTTTGACACAATTTAGCGCGTTTTTGCTATCGGTTCCACACTGACACGAATTAATTCGTGCATAACTGCGTATCCACGTCGTCCCGCGCGCACACTGCGGGCCAAATGTTGAAACGTTTGCCGAGTCGTGGTCGATAACGTAAAAACTTTGAACACCTGATAGAAAGGTTGATAGAACGTTGGAAAACAGTTCCTCGACTTTTCCATAGTGTAAACCCATGCAGCTTTACGTTCACGCGATGACTTACTCAGCTTGGCCGTGTGGATGATACGGCGATTAGCGGCGGCGTCTCGTCGGCCTTTCATTTCCATAGTGTAAACTGTGTATAGTGTGTGCTGGGTTTACACTTTAGTAAAGTCGACGAGTTGATAAGTTTTCCCACGTTCTATCAACTTTTCTATCAGACTCCTGATGATAGACTCCTGATATAATAATATATAATAGAGTATAATTGCGTGATAAGTCGTGTTATTGTCGCGTATGTGCGGACGTTGTACTTAGAACACACGTATAGTGTTTGTAACGAATCTGCAGTTTACACGTTTCTTATCATCATATGTCACGGACGTGAAATACCAAACCTCCTCGGTACTATTATACAATTATAATAAAACTATATATATATATATATACTAACTACTAATATTGTACAGGTAAATGCAGTCTGTACGGGGTAATAGATAAGGATTGTGTGCACTAAACGCATGTTATCGTGCTATCACTGACATGCGGATTTTTCTTCAATAAATATATAAACAAATAGCTATTATAGCTATATGTATATGTATGTATGTATATATATATATATATATATATATATACATATATATATATGCATATCTGGGTGTGTGTCTGTGTGCAAATGTGCGCGTACATGGGAGGAAAATGGAGAGAGAGGGGAAACACACAGAGAGTGTGTGCGAGAGAGAAAGAAGACAGAGAGAGAGAGAGAGAGAGAGAGAGAGAGAGAAGAGAGAGAGAGAGAGAGAGAGAGAGAAGAGAGAGAGAGAGAGAGAGAGAGAGAGAGAGAGAGAGAGAGAGAGAGAGAGAGACAGAGAGGAGGATAGAGAAGAGAGAGAGAGAGAGGAGAGAGAGAGAGAGAGAGGAGAGAGAGAGAGAGAGACGAGAGAGAGAGAGAGAGAGGAGAAGAGTAGAGAGGAGAGAGAGAGAGAGAGAGTACGAGAGAGAGAGAGAGAGAGAGAGAGAAAGAGCAGAGAGCAGAGAGAGGAGAGAGAGAGAGAGAGAGAGAGAGAGAGAGAGAGAGAGAGAGAGAGAGAGAGAGAAGAGAGAGAGAGAGAGAGAGAGAGAGAGAGAGAGAGAAGAAGAGAGAGAGAGAGTAGAGAGAGAGAGAGAGAGAGAGAGAGAAGAGAGAGAGAGAGAGAGAGAGAGAGAGAGAGAGAAAGCCTACTAGAAGACAGGCACTGACGATAATACCGTAAACGTTGAATAAATTTCACATTTATTAAATCTTATCGATAGAATACATAAAATACCTTGCCCACCTTGAAATTGCGACCGAACAAATCTATCTCGAGCCATGCACTTCTATAAAGAAATAATCTGTACCTGTACATTACTTGACCTGCCACGAAAATATAATACAACGATTTATTACCAGTTAAAAATGCGTTTATTATATGCTCTTGGTATTCACCGCCCGTATTATTACATCTACGAAAAATGCGATGATACACGAGACGGTGTGTTTATGACAGGCTCTGGCGATCGTGATCGTAATTAGTTTGACAGACAACTCTCATTCCCAGGAGATATCATCGATCAATACCTCCATGTACGGTTTTCTCACCGAGACATGTACGCTATAATAGTCTCATCCCTTAATTATATACATGGCGGGAAAATCACACACGGCAATCACATCGCATCCGCACATACCCGCGATTAACTTCTCCTAACTACAAAGCCATAGCAGGGACATGAACGGCGTTACATCCACGGTAAATCGTCTTATTCCCATCTCTGTCGCGATCGGGAACATTCCGAGTGAGCAGCAAGAACGAGGATATTTTTCACAGGCAAGCCTAAATACGGTGCTCACTGAAGACACGAAAATTGTTAGTTTGTTCGACAGTAGTGTTGTTGGCGATAGGAAGGCACAGGGGAGGAGACCGGACCAAGTAACACGAGAGCAATAAGGGGCGCCACTGTGACCAATATTACACGCGCATTTAGGGTCATAGCCTATTATAATATCAAAAGTCCATAATAGAAGAGTCCATATCAATAGTCCATTCTATTATGGACTCTTGATAATAAGCACGCATACCGATACCGATTGATGTCATTTATACATTTATTACAGTAACATTAAAAATTCGAATTATTACGCGTATTGGTTATGACTATATCTTGTTAGTACAAGCTCGTGCTTAGCAACAGGCACGTGCTTTTCCGCGGCACATTATATGAGCTGTTACCATTTTCATGAACTCATTATTTGTGGAGGCGTGACGTTCACACTGTACTACGCCGAGTGACTGAAACGAGATATTTACGTAATGAACATGAAACAGAAAAGCCGTGCTTCTTTGCCAACATAAGGGGTTTCTACGATCAATGGTCAATCAACTATTTAACGCAGACACAACGAGTGAATTTGCACGTATGCATACAAACCTGATACTACTGCCATGATCACATGTTGGGTGGGCTCTTTTTTAATTAATGCACAAACAAAACAAGGGTTAGTTATGGTGACTAACCTAGGTACGCTTTCAATTACACATCTACAGCCGTTTTCTGCACAGAATAAAATTAGAGCTACAACGTTCTAGTGACGTAGCGAATCTTCATAGGTTTATTATATACTGCAATTTAATCTATAATTCGCGGAATAAACGTTGCAATTTTTTCTCGACTAATTCAAAGCATTTACATAAGATTTATAGCAAACCTGCAGGCAAACATATTTTAGCAATAGAAAGGATAACTGAAAGAATGGCTTCAATACGCAATACTTGCATGTGAAGCAAGCGCATGATGCACCCCATCATAGATATATATATATACAAACACGTTTTCATATATCTATGATCGCATGTACATCGTTTAAACACTAGGTGGGAATAAACCAGTGGCCTAAATTATTGGACCTGTATTATGTATTTACCAAGATCACTATAAAATATAATATAATATAAAACGGATAAATAAAAAGAGAATATTCAATGTGGCATTGGTGGAAGCGACCGATATTTTGATTGTATTTAGTATTAGATTTGGTGTAATTTCTTAGCAAAACAACAAGTTTTCATCATCAAACAAATTCTTGACAAGATTAAACGTCAGATTTCTAGCATCTTTAATGAGATACTCGAGAAAACCTCAATACCCCCGATAGAGCAATTCAATCGTAATGAACGCGAATTTTTTTTAAATGTTAATAACGTTGGCTGCACCACGTTTGCAATAGATGTTCGCTTCAGCCAGTTTTACATACGATTAGGCAGGGCTCAGCAACAGCAGCATCCGCTAGCCTATGTGAAGCATAACACACTTGGGAGACTATCGGAGCTATGTGGGCGAGAGGCTGGGTCGATTGGGTGGTACAGCAGCCGTGACAGGTCTGCATTCAGTGCTACGATTCTTGTGCACCTTGCTCTCACTAGTGTATACGTATTCATTAGCGTCATTATCCGATGGATAGGTAGACCTACGACCACAAAGGCTATCGCCAGAAATAACACGAGCCACCTTCTAAGCCTCACAGTATTTTCTGCTCACCTTTATGTCGTGCAGCACAGCGAATGGCGATCCTTATAATGACGGAACTAATAAGCAGTGCAAACTCTTCCTTAGCAACGTGTTAAGTGGGAAGATTTGGTTTTAGTGCGCGCTGTACGTGATGCCTTATGATACACATTGCCAGTGTGTGCAAAACTCTACTCGGTACACAAGATGCTGCTTGATAAGATTTGCGTAGGTGAAGCGAATAAGTGATAATAAAATCATCACAGGATGGTCTCACCAGCTGTCAAGAGGAATCGCATATCACGGTGATATCGGTGTTGATTGACACGACACGGTGACAAACATCACCACCAGCACTGTGACATTACCGTGAAACTAGTTCTCATTGCAATTGTGCCATCACAGTTTTTCATTAGAAACCTGCACGGCCGTTACATCAGGGTGGCAATGGTGTGCACCGGGAATGTCATATAGGACTGTCATCTTCAGAACTGCCACATCATAGTGAAAATGGCATGTATTGGAAAGTCATGTACAGCTGTCATCGCCAGAACTGTCACGTTACAGAAACAAGTAGAGATATCAAGAGTATCACATGACAGTGAGAACTGGAGACACTACAACTATCAAGTGTGACACTGATGAATATCAAAAGTATTATATGACAGTGTGAATTGGAGATGTCAAGAGTACCAAATGATAGTAACATCGATAGGTATCAAGAGTACCACATGATTGATAGTAACACCGATAGATATCAGGAGTATCACATGACAGTGTGACGTCAGCGGTCATCGACTGCGTCGGCCGTGGCTGGTTTGACCGTCGTCACGATGGGCACGCGTAGCACCCGGATCTTCGTTTGCGGAAGTAGCAAGCACAGGCTGTGTATCAGCTGGTTGACTGTCATGTAGTCCGTGGCATCCTTCGCGTCGCTGTCCTTCGAGAGTGCAGCCGGCGGCACAGACGCGAACGGAATCGGCTGCAACGGCTGCTGACCGCCCGCGTCCCGCTCGCAGGCGACGCCCCAGTCAAAGTGCGTCAGCTTCGGCAGCGTTGAGACGAGATTGTAGACGTTCATGTTGACAACGGCAGCCTGCAAGCAAGGCAAATATGTAGCGGTCACCACAGAGGTAGGCTACAAGCAAGGCAAATATGCATCGGTGCAGTGGGCTGTCCATCAATCAAGGTTTGGAAGTTAAATCACAACATATATTTGTATTTTAGTCACGACATTCACACTATTTATATGTTGCGATAGAAAACACATAATGATGCGCTCAAGACTGGGCGAGTCAGCTGGGAGGGAGGGAGGGAGAGAGAGCGAGCGAGAGAGAGAATGATGGAGAGTGAGTGTGCGTGTATGTGTGAGAGAGAGAGCGATGGAGAGAGAGAGAGAAGTAGAGAGAGAAGGAGAAGAGAAAGGAGAGAGAGAAGCTAAAGAAAGTGAAAGATGGGGACTTGTCACTAACCTGCTCCACGTCAGGCCAGATGTTAAGCACGCGCAGTTTGGGCATCAGTGGCAGCACGGTCGACAGCGTGTCAGCAATCGTGAACATGACCAACTCCAGCGACTCCAGCCTGTGAACAATAAACGCACTGCCAAACTCAGCACACGCGTGCGGTGCATTCTAATTTGCAGTCGTTGCCATTCTCTACCAGTAAAACACAAACCGTATTTGCGGCCGGGGGCGAATAATTATTGACAAATGCGAACGATTCCGCATTATTGTAACCATAGTAAGGTAACACCCAACGTTATGAAATCTCAGTTTATGTAACTTCAATTATAGATCATTTGAAAATTATTACCACAACTCGGGATACGACAACTCTTCCCTATGTAATTCGTATATTATCACCACTACACTTGACATAGGAAAAGTAAACTCACTCCTACAGAATTTCAAAAGACCGAGTCGTTGATTTTACACACAAAAGGTTGTGTGCTAAATATTCACAAATAAAATTTATGCCACAGATTTGCAGCCAACTGCCAGCACGTCGATGTTAAACATGTTATGCATTCACAAATGTTCAATTGAGTATAGAATTGCCCTTCTAGTATACCTTTTAACTGAGGGATTTTCTGTAGGAACGTATCTCTATTGATATAATGGAAGTCAGTGGGAAAACGTTATTCACGTTATGAATGTTCGTCTTACACAGGTTTTTTTCTATAATACATCCCTTACATAATGTGGGGTATTATCGTAACAGATATCTTATTAGCACGTGTAACACATGGCCATGCTCTGCAGAGGGGCTGGCTTTGAATTGAGGCATTGCAATTTTTTTCTTCCAATGTTTGGTGCTTTTAATTTTTTAATTTTATAAATTTGACATTTTCTGGCACTTACTCAGTGAGATTACTTAGCGAGTCTGCAAGACCAATATCAGGTATTTCACCACCAGACTCTAATCGTAGGTGTTTCAGATTTGACAGCTTGCCCAGCTCGTAGTAGATCTGAAACATCAAAGTAAGTAATAATAGCTAAAGAGCTTGTAAAAAGCTGCAAAAACAAAGTTTACAGTACTTCACATGTAAATTAACAGCGTTCCAATGACTTAATATTATGATGTATTTTATTATGCAAACTCAGTTGTGAGGTGCCAAAGTTCTGGCAACCTAGGCCAGAGCTTTCTAGAATTTTTAACAATTATACAAATTCAGGTAATTTTGTGTCAGCGACCCATAGCTACAATCTGTGATCTATGATCAAGATGAATCTTTTTAATTGCCTTGGCAGGCAAGATTTGGATTGGTTGGTTCAAAACCACAATTCTTACATACTAGTCCAACATTATAAAAACTTAATGATCTAGTGAGATGTGTTGGAGATTGAGATCACACCATTACACAAATGTTCTATCCATGCCTAATACTATTGGCGTTATCATGCTTGCACACCTTGTTGCAAATAGCAAACTCAATATTATGCTGGACAAGACTAGGGGTCACAGACTCACACTATAAGGTTTTGTCTCCGAATTTTATGCATTTTTAGTTTACAGTAATTAATGTCGTGTTGGAAACAAGTACACACAAGTAAGATAGGTTGAGAGAGCAGATAGCACAGATGGCTGTGAAGCCTTGTGAGGTAGGAAAAGTAAAAGGGGACAGATGTTTAATTAGCATATGGATAATGAATATCAACAAAAGTAAGGTTTCTTAGCAGAAACATAATTAACTAGAGCACTTGGAGAGCGCAGACCTCTGCCAAGGTAGCTCAATTCTCTCACTGTGAAAAATTTAATTAATTAATT